GAGTAGAATTTTGGGGGTCCTGGGGGGGATTTTGGGTTCCTGAAAAGAATTCTGGGGGTTTCAGGGGGCTTTTGGGGGTCCCAGGAGGAATTTTGGGGACCCTGATGAGAATTTTGGGGTCCCAGGGTAGTTTTTGGGGTCCCAAAGGGAATTTTGGGCATCCCAGGGGAGGTTTTGGAGTCCTGGGGAGAATTTTGGGGATCTCAGGTTTTTGGGAGAAATTTTTGGGGTCCCAAATAGAATTTTGGGGGTCTTGTGGGGGTTTTGGTGTCCTGAAGGGAATTTTGGGGGTCTCAGGAGGTTTTTGGGGATCCCGGGGGGGTTTTGGGGTTCTATATGGAATTTTGGGGGTCCCAGGGGGATTTTTGGGGCTCCTGAAGGGAATTTTTGGATTCCCAGGGCTGTTTTTCGGGGATCCCGCTGGGTTTCTTTGGTGGTCCCGGAGCTGTTTTTTGGGGATTCCGCTGGGTTGTTTTGGGGGTCCCGGGTGAGATAAGTGGAAGATCATTTGTTCACTGTGATATGCTCGCTTACCTTGGTTTGCATAAGAATGTACTGGTGTGTCTTTGAAATGCTTATTTGCTTACAAGGTGATAAGGAGGTTGAGATTAGAGTCCTGGGTGCATGTATCTGGTCTGCTTGCTGTATCTCAAAAGAAGAGACTTAGAAGCTATCACAACGACCAGACTCAGACTACATCTGGAGAGTCACGCCTGCAAGGAGAAGGGGGGGGATAAAAGGAAGGTTGGGACAGAACATTTTTGCGCGCCGTTGGTGGAGCAGGAGACTCCCCGGCCGCCCAGCGCTGGATTTTGCCTGCCTTACTTGCTTGCTATTTTAAATAAAATTGCTTTATTGAATTAAGACACTTCAAATTGTCGTGTCACAATTTATAACACCGGGGGTGTTTTTGGGGTCCCCCTCTCACCAGTCCATGGACGCTTCCACTCCCCGGTTCCTGGTCAGCGCCAGCGCCTTCGCCCTGCGGGACCGGGGGGCTCCCGGTTATTTTTGCGGGGTTCCCGGGAGGGTCTTGAGGCGTCCCGGGAGTCCCGGGGTCTCCGGGGCCTTTCCGTGTCTATCCCCGCCCCCCCCCTCCAATAATCCCATTCCCGGTCCCGGTGCCGTTACCGGGTCCACTCCGGCTGCTCCCGCCCGCCCTCCCCCGTTGTCCCCGGCCCTCCCCCGGTGTCCGAACGGTGCCGGCGCCCTCACGCGCGCCGGGTCCCGAATCCCATCTCCAGCAGCGCCTCCAGGGCGAGCCCGGGCCCGGTCCCACCGCCCTCCGCCATCACGGCGGCGCCGGGCTCGCGACACGTGGAGGACGACGGCCGGCGCGAGACAGAAATGCAGAAAGCGTTCCGGTACGGACGGCGGCCTCGGAGGGATAAAAAGCCTCAACTGCGTTCTCGGACGGACGGCGTCTAGAGAGGGACAGAAATCCTAAAATGCGTTGTGGTACGCACGGTGGCTGTACAGGGACAAAAATACTCAAATGCGTTGTGGTACGGACGGCGTCCGGAGAGGGACAGGAAGCTTAAAAGCATTTTCGTACGGACGGCGGCCGGACAGGGACAGAAAGTATCAAATTCGTTATGGTACGGACGGCGTCTGGAGAGGGACAGAAAGACTCAAAGCGTTCTCGTATGGCCGGCGGCCGGCGTGGGACAGGAAGCCGCTCGCGCCGCCGCCATCCCCGGCGCCGCGGAGCCGCCTCCAGCCCTCCCCTCACTCACAGACATCGCCCCGCTCGCCGCTCGCTCCCGCCTCTCACCCCCTCCCGCCCCGTCTCGGCGGGTTTTGCAGGGCGCTGGCTGGGGGGCTGCAGTACCCCTTTCTGTCCACAAGGCGGCAGCACTGCCGCCCGCCACCGCCGGGGGCCGCCGCTCGCCTCGGGGCCGCGGGCGGGGCAGGCGGCAAAAAAGAACGGGCTCCGTCCCCTGCGGAACGTCCTCGGTTGCAAATGCCCCGAAACATCTCGCGCAGAAAAGAACGCCAACAAAAAAAAACCCTGCCTCTAACCCAACAAGAAACAAAAGAAAAAAACCTTTTCTTTTAAACTGCGTTTCAATGTATTTCATTTTTGTATTATTTATATTCACATTCGGATTTATAATTCGGATTTAAAGGCCGGCAGGGGAGGGAAGAGGGACGGGGCACAGAGGAGGGAGAGAGGGGGAA